AACAATGCCAGAAACTTTTTTCTAAAAGTTTATGCCACATTTATCAGCCCAATAGGCTTCTCTGAATCCTACTGACTTCAGCGAGAAGCGCAATTTAAGCTAACATTTTATGCCCATTTGATATGCTGATAATAGCGCAGGTGCCCATGTATTTGCATTAAAGTGAAATTTGTATTAGTTCTGTTACAGATATTTCACAACAAGATAAGTTTAAAAGGCAATTCAAAAATCATATTATTGTACTTTAACAAATCCAACTGAACATTAAAATAATATATTATTATGCGGAGAGTAAAAGAAGCTCTTGATAATTATTGGCCTGCAGTTAATAATTATTATAGGGTGATTGTTCAAGCAGTGTCTGGAACACACAGCTCTAAAATTGCTCTTTTAAAGAAGGAAAAATGGTCTAGAGGGGTTCAAAATGAATTCAGGTGGTTTTATGTCTCATCTGGCAACATTTATGTAATTAAAATGAGTGCGTTGAAATCTATCTTTTCTGCTAACTTATTTTTTAATAATAAGATTGAAATTTCATAGCTTGTTCTTTTTTATATCATAAACCGAAAGTCACATGTTCCTAGTTTATGCACATAGCCTTAGCCTCATCAAATGTCCATATTAGCATCTCGGATATTTTGCATGGATGGAGTAAATTTCTCAAGACATCATTGTCTAAATCCTTTTCCCTGTTCCCCACTCATGTGGTATTTGGGTACTTTTGAGCTACTCATAGTGACACCATAGGGCAGATTGGGTCAAATCAAAATAAAAGAAGATTCAGAAACTTTGGCTTTAGAAAACATTTGGCTTTTCCCAATGAACTGAGACATGGAAAGCTCAAAAAGAAATACAACTTGTATAAAAATTTGTTTTCAAGTCAGTAATTATGGGCCTCCCTGAGCCATCTTCCAGTGAATCCTGCTGCCATGTCCCTCTGAGATTTTAACTCTCATGTCGATTCAAGCTCTGTGAAGAAGCTAAAATCCTTGAAGCTTGCATTTTTAAAACCTAAATCTTCCCAACATTCTTTGCAATACTTACTTTCTAGTGGGAGGAAATATGTAGCTTGTATTAGTCCTAACGAGAAATGAATAAACGAACAACAAACAAGCAAATAAATAGGAGTAAAAGCCTTTGAGTCAAAATGAAGGAAAGATATTTGTAAGAACTTTGGATAGGGATATTCTTTGGGCAAAGGAGACATTTGAAGGACTGAAGGGTGGCAGTGTTTGTTTGTTTGTTTGTGTGTTGTTTGTTTTGTAAGAGCAGTTCAGCCAAGGGTACACTAAATGCAAAAACCCTGGGACTAGGCTCTCCCTGACGTGTTAGGAAGCCAGGCCAACGGGTACAGGTTTGATGAGACCCTGTGGATGATTGTAACGTCTCTGGATTTTATATTTCCTTTTAGATAGAGTCTATAATGAAAGAAGTGATATTGTCTGACTTTTATTTTAAAAGACTTGCTCTGTCTGCCAAATACACAGGAAAGGAGGGTAAGGAATCAAGTTAGGAGATCCACTAGGAAGCTACTTCCAAAAAATTCCGATAGCTTTACCAATTTGGTGCAGTTGGCGTGATAACATGTGAGATTTAGAAAGTATGATCTGGAAGAGTCCTGGTGGATTAAATGGAATGTATAGAGGGAATAAAGGAATCAATAGGACCTCTACATTTTTGACTAATACATTTCAAAGAATAGAGTATCTCTTTACTGAGCTGGGGAAAAGGAAAGATAAGAGCATATATGGGGAAGAGAATGGAAAAGGGTAGTTTTAAGAGCTCAGCTTTGGGTCCGGCTGCGTGGCCTAGAGGTTAAAGTCCTCACCTTGAACGCACCAGGATCCCTTATGGGCGCCGGTTCTCATGCTGGCAGCTCCACTTCCCATCCAACTCCCTGCCTGTGGCCTGGGAAAGTAGTCAAGGATGACCCAAAGCCTTGGGACCCTGCACCTGTGTGGGAGACCTGGAAAGAAGCTCCTGGCTCCTGGCTTCAGATCGGCGCAGTACCGGCCGTTGCAATCACTTGGGGAGTAAATCATCGGACGGAAGATCTTCCTCTCTATCTCTTCTCCTCTCTGTACATCTGGCTTTATAATAAAAATAAATATATCTTTAAAAGGTGGAAAAGAGCTCAGTTTTGAACATGGATTATTTGGAACCTTAGTAAGGAGATTGGATGGTAAAACTATAAGGAGGCCAGAGAGATCAGCTGTAAGGCATTTGATCTAAGAATGGAAATAGAATCATTCAAAACCAGACGTTTAGTGGGCACTTTATTAAACCAAGCATAGTTGTAGCATCTGTGTCCTCGAGATGCACAGTGATAGAGTTTGGGTTACAGGTGGTTGAGTTCGTGTACGTGAACAGCAGCATCTTGAGAGCGAACTTCAGAATGCTCACATTGTCACAGCTGTTCGGACTTTTAGTGAACTGACCAACTTTTAAAAAATTATTTTATATTAGCCTGCTGTTTAAGATATGTTTATTTTTTTTTTTATTTGAAAGGCAGATTTATAGAGAAAAGGGGAGACAGAGAGAGATCCTCCATCTGCTGGCCCACTCCTCAAATGGCCTCAATAGCCAGAGCTAAACTCATCTGAATCCTGGACCCAGGAACCAGGAACCAGAAGCGAAGAGATTCATCTGGGTCTTCCAGGGGTCCAAGGACTTCTACTGTTTTCTCAGAATATAAGCAGAGAGCTTGATAGGACATAGAGCAGTATATGAGATGCCAGTACTGCAGACGGAGGATCAGCCTGTTGAGCCACTGTGATGCCCTGAATTGACTCTAAGGAGAGTCTGTTTTTTTCCATGTACTGGCTTCCTGAAGTTCTGTTAGGGCAACATACTAACTTAGGTCTTTCATTAGCATTTCATGATCATTGGTTTTTCTGTTATCTTACTGGTAAGATTTGGAGTACTATTAGATGGATGCTTCTGGCCCTTTATGGCAGCCACAGTCGGTACTGGTGTTTTCCAAGCTGAACATTCGTATCTTAAAGATGAACTCATCGCTGGGCTTGTCTGTTCGGTGTTTGAGTGCTGTGTATTTTTGCTCCTGGCATTTTGAAACCAGGTATCTTTATCTCAGTATCTCTGGATGGGGCTTTTGAACACTCAGTAAAGTAAAAAACATCTCTAGTAATGCAGTTACCCAGGCGGAGGCAGGAGTTCTTCCGTTCCTTCTTTTTTCTTTAAAGACTGGCTTATGTCTTGAGGATACATTTGAGGAGGCATTGTACTTGCCATTTTTCCCATTACCGAAGACTGCTGAGCTGGACACACAATCACAGCATCTCTCCCTGGAGTCCGAGAAGGGAGCAAATGCTGTCTACCGAGGGAACCAGCCAGCACTAACCGCTTTCCACTCTCAAATAGGAAAAGCAATTTGAGCTATGCGAGACCCAGCACTGTGCTTGTGATGGCCTCTGGAGAACCAAGCATTTCAAACCAAGTGTCGTGTGGTTTGCTTTTGTGATTCAAGCTCCTTCTGAGAGTTATGCAGGAAACCATCAACACAGCTCCTCCGGTGGTGCCCCAGAACAGGGCTTCATCTGATGACCACAGCGAAGTTCTACCTGGCAACAGGAAAAGTGTTAAGGACTCAGGTTATGACGTGGTGATTTTCTTCTAAGAATACTCACAGTCACAATAATCTGTGAGAGTGGGAAACATGAAGAAAACATAAAAATAGGAAAGCTGAATGTTTATTTTTAAAATGAACTACATTTGTGGGGGAGACAGCAAAAACATAGGCACTTTCATCCTGCAGCAAAAACCAATATATTATCCAAAGAGTTGGAAGAGGCATCAGCCAGAAATGTCATTGTTAACTGTCCACTTATAATTTGTCCATGAATGTACTGTACTTTTTGCTACTTGCATTTTATCCATAAATATCAATCCTTGATTTGTATATCCTTTTGTTGCTTGCTTTTCAAACAAATCAGAGTTATTTGTGAAACATAACTTTTTGTAAATATATATCTAGTACACTGCTTTTCCACTATTTTGTAGAATCTCATTGAATACATTGATCTGCATTTGCTTACTCATTTCCCTATTGATAGAAGTTTGATTATTTGGAGGAAGTTACGATCATGTATAAATTCTCAACTCTGACATCTTGGTGCACTGAAAGCCTCGGAAAAGCTATTTTGGATGGAGGACAGAGATTTGAATCTTAGAACAAGAATAGAAATACAATAATGGGTATACCCTAGAACCTGTCAAATGTGGTGCCCATCGGCCTATTTTAACAGAGCCCAAAATGTGGTTTCATGAAGTTCAAGTGTTTAGCTTTTTCATAGTTCTTAGCTCTGCTAATGTGTTTTATGCTGTTGTTGAATATAATAATTGTGAATACTTATTTTTTCATCTATGTGTAACAGGCTCTATTAATTTGAAACTCTTCAAGGAGCAAGCTTTCTGATCTCCTTAAGCCATTCAAAATGAACATAAATCAATGAATATAAATCCACATTCCTTTAGCTCTTCGCATTAAATCAGTGGTACACATATGTGGCTGCTCATTAGATTTAAGTGGGAATCTTTATTTTAAAAAAAGTCCTTTTATGTAGGAGCTTCCAGGACAAAGGCATTGCATTTGTATTTTCAGAATCCCTGGAAGATTCAAAAATTAGTCAAGAGAATAGTTAAGCATACAACTCAATATTTTAAGGTGAATATTCCCCCAGAAGAAGTTGTGTGAAAATTAGCCTAAAAAGTTGGTGTGATACCTGTTAGAATTTGTTTTTCTTGATGTGTTTCACCGGAATTAAGTTGATCTGTTTCAATGTTTATATCCAACGTTGTTTACAACTCTGAATTTCCACTGACTGACTCAGATCTCACACAGGTTAAACACACATAGTTTATTCATTTTTTGGTGTGGGGCAAATTTAGTATGTTATTAAATTCATGCTGCCTGAGGGTAGGCCCTTACGAAGCTTTGCTATGTGTGGATGCAACTCACGGTTTCTCTGTTGTGTTTGCAGCACAGTGACGCCGTTCATGATCTTCTTCTGGATGTGATCACGTGGGTTGGAATTTTGCTGTCCCTTGTTTGTCTCCTGATTTGCATCTTCACGTTTTGCTTTTTCCGCGGGCTCCAGAGTGATCGTAATACCATCCACAAGAACCTCTGCATCAGCCTCTTTGTAGCAGAGCTGCTCTTCCTAATTGGAATCAACCGAACTGACCAACCAGTAAGCAACCTACATTTATGCGTATGAAGAATGTGTCTGCCAGCAGAGTCCACTACTGCTAATATTAGAATATTCATGCTTGGCTGCATCCTTTCTTCAGGCTGTCTGAGATATGTTTTTTCAGATCTGACTCAGTTGTCTGGGTCCTGTGCCCTGTTGTCATAAAAAAGCAGTGAATATTATGCATGAAGTATGCATTAAATGTTAAACTTTTTTAGAAATGTGTTTTTAGAGCAGTTTTTTGATTTGCAGTGTAACCTTTGCCGCTATGTAGGCATACCTGCTCCATTGTCAATAGCGCCTATCAGAATGATATATTTGAGACAATTGATGAGCCTAAACAGGCATGTCATTATCTCCAAAGTTCATAGTTCACATCATAGCTCATTCTTTGTGTTGTGCATCCTGGGAGTGTAGACAAGTGTGAAATGTCTTTTATTCATTCTTTATCACACAGTATATTTTCACTGTGCTGAAAATCCTCCAACTCTAGCAACCACTGATCTTCATTTTTTATTGTCTCTGAGGTGTCTTTTTAAAAATTCACTTAAGTAATATGCATCTTTCCCTCTGTATCTTTGTTGTGACCTGACGGTTTGTTTCTTTTGAGCACTGAGCACTATCGGAAGCTCCATGATGTCTCTCCGTTTACCTACTACGGGCGTCTTTTGGTAATTATGAGCAGAGCTGCTATAAATGAGGATGTAGACTTTTGTGCCATTAAAGGTAGTCCTTGCTATAGTAAATACCCACTTGCGTAATAAATGGGCTGCACAGGAACAATATGTTTCGTTTGTAAGAAACTGCCAAAACAGTTTCCAAAGTGGTAAACTATTTTCCATTCCCAACAGCAAAGAAAGCGATATGCATTTCTTCAGATTCCCTGTTTTTTAGGACAAACTGCCCATTTCTACTGTTGTTTTTTTTTTATTTTTAAATCATAAAACTAAATATTTTGGGACATTTAGTAATATCATTTATGAAATGAAGGCATATCTCTTCTAACAGATGTGATTATTAATTTTTGAGAGCTTAGTCTATACCTTCTTAAACAGTTGGTGTTAACATATGAATGGATGAAATGAATTTTTTAATTGTTCTGATTTGGAAAATAGTGTAAACTACAGGTCATTCATTTTTCTGATCCATTACCTCCACAAGATTTTATTCGATACATTGCTATTTGCTTGTTTTCTGTTCACTTCTTAAATTTGTAACTTCATTCTTCACTACTACTTACATTTAATTATTTTGAGAGTGGGATGTACAGAGGAAGGGGAAAAAATGATAGAAAAAAACTGGAACAGTACTAGACAACTATTAAAAAAAGCAGGAAATAATGAAAGTCTTCAATAAGTTTGTAGAAATGGAATTGAAAGATAAGTTTATTTTGTTGCAAAAATATTTTGAGAAATTTGTGTACAAGGAATTTCATGAAAGTTCATGCAAATGTGTAAAATGGATAAACTGTGTTTGCACTGAAATTGAACTTTCTTATTCCATCTTCCTTGAACTTCTGGAAGTACCCTTATATGAACTGTAGACCGTATTTAATGAATTGGACACATTTTATACACACCTATATTTTTATCAGGCCTTTTGTGTTTACTTAAGATTTATGCACATTTATTCTCATGTTTAAAACTGTAAGAAAATGAGAACTTTTGTTTTTTTATCAAAGAATTCTGAGCACAAGTAAGTCATTCACTCCACACTGTTTTCTGGTATGTGTGCATGTGTCCATATATATGAAATAGTTTATAATAAAAATGCAGTTGGATTCATATTTGTGATTGCACATTCATGATTTATGGCTGCAGAGGATACAATTATGGTGATTATATTTTAATTGGTTACCATATACTAGTATGACAGCTTTCCTTATAAATACATAATCTGAATAAGCAATCAAAGTATGCACTTCTTTTCACCAAAAATGTAAAGGCTGTGATAGCAAAAATTAATAGTTGATGTTCTAACTCGGAAAAGCAACAAATGGAAAATTGTGTAGTTCTCAAAAAGATACTATTTTATTCTCTCGTTAACTTGCAATTCAGATCCTATGTGATTTCATTTAGAACCATATTCTTATTTTTATTTCCTGATATTCCTGATCTCACATATTGCACAAAGCTGATTTCTGACAAGGAAGGTAAATGAAAGTGGCATTCAGACGCATCCACACCCTTTGTGGTGCTCAGGTGTCCTCTTCTAGACGCCTGAGTGTGGATAACCGTCGGATTTCTTTCCCAGTGAAACTGACCTGCCCTTTGCCTGGTTTCTTAGAGCTCACACTCACCAGAGAATCATACTACTCTTACCATTTCTGTAAGTTTACTGACCTTTTCTGGCAACACTAACAATTTTAGCCAAGACATCCTGACAAGCAAGAAGAATCACAAGGAGTTTCAGCAACAGATGTCATCCTAGGAAATTAAAAGGCAGTCAGCTGAAACTCATAGAACTTAGACAATGTACAGAAATTAACACTGAATGCCAGTTTTGTGTTTCCTAACATTTAGGAAAATTACAAAATTACCAGAGAAATACAACACGTATGGTGCTTAGCATCTGATCAGCCTAAACTTCCCAGTATAAACTTGAATTCTCTGAAACAAGGTGGGGAAGAAATAATTAGTTAGCAGTAATATCTCACTACAGAAGGCTGCAATTGATGATGTGATTTAAGTGTGTTTACTTTCTTTGATTTCAATGTTTATCATCCATTATTTAAAAAGTTAGAATGTTAGTGCAGATGCTACCATGGCCACAAGAAAAATTTCCAAGATCTAGTTAAAAGTCTTTAGACTACTGTCAGTAATCAGTATACACTGAGTCTTAGTAGAGTTTTTCTGACTCATTTAGCTTTCCCTTCTGTAATGCCATTGCTGTTAGGCATCCATCAGCTGTTAGGATTGTTCAACGCAGTTTTCCAACTTCCATTTAATTGATCTTAGTTGTTGTAGAATCTTGTCAGGTGTATTGTTTGGCAGACATGTTTGATCGCTGCAGTCTTGGCACAGGTGGCAGGTACTGACCCAGCCCTTTGTCTCCTGTCCTAGATCGCCTGTGCTGTGTTCGCTGCCCTCTTACACTTCTTCTTCTTGGCTGCCTTCACCTGGATGTTTCTGGAAGGTGTGCAACTCTACATCATGCTGGTGGAGGTTTTTGAGAGCGAACATTCACGTCGGAAATACTTTTATCTGGTTGGCTATGGAATGCCTGCTCTCATTGTGGCTGTGTCGGCGGCCGTGGACTACAGGAGCTATGGAACAGATAAAGTGTGAGTTGCCGCTTGCTTGCTTTATAAGTCTAGTTGTAATAAAAGCTTTGAGCTTTTAATTTTTTTTTGAAAACTGAAGTTTTTATATTACTACCTCACAGCAATAAACGAATGCACTAGGAAAAACAATAGTTATAATTCAAACCGTAGTTAAGCCGTTTGTTTTATGGAAAATAATACATTCTAAGAATCCTAACATATAATCCTATTGGGGGATCACTTTAAAAGATGAAATCACAAGCAAGTCTTTGGTGAGAAGAATCAATTTTCTGGAACATAGAGGAAAAATATCTTACATTTGATTTGTATTGCTCATACAGAGCATGGATGAAACAGGTCCAATGCAGATAGAAAAAAACATGGCTTAGGAAAACATCGATTTAATAGTGTCCTCAGAATTTACTGATTCCAGGACATTAATTTCATGAATTTGAAAACCAAGGACCAGGTAAAGAAATTACTTTGGCCTTACAAAGATAGTGACAGAAGTTTGATTAAACAAATCAGGTGTATTTCCAATACGCTAGGATTTTTAAAAAATCAAAAACCTAAACGACTGTTTCTTTTTGAATTGTGAAGGAAAGAACAGGGAAAGTATATTTTGCAGCAGAACTTTTCCGTCAAGTGAAAGAGGCTGAGTTCTGTTGAGTGAGCAGGCGAGGTCGCGTCAAGAGGACTGCAGATTGAAGAACTGTGAAATGAGCACTGTGGAAAATGTGTTCAGGAGCCAATTAGACATTAATGGCAAGATTTCCAAGCAGCAGCGAAGACTCAGATGGGGTTAGGTAACACTTTGCACAGAAGATAATAAGCCAAATTTCCAGACTGTTCATCGGCACTCCACAGCCTGAACATGCTAGCGAGAGAGTGGCTTGTTTCCCAGAAGGAAGGATTCATAAGGAGGAACGACAGGAGGCGACACCAGAGCTGCTGGGGCACAGTTTCATTGGCATATGTCATTGGACTTGAGCAGCAGTGTTAAAGGATGACCATCAGTTTCTGTTGAGCTTTTCCCTTTGGGTGCAGCAACAGGCTCTTCACAGCCGTGTGTTTAAATGTAACTCCTAATTATTTTTGTATCTACCCTTTGTGAATTACAGTCAAATAGGAGCTCCCCTGGAGGATCCCAGTGACAACTATAGGAAAGACTAGGATTAACAAAAAATAGTGGCGACCTGCAGTTGCCCCAAACACATCTTAGGACCAAAGCTTTGGACTGCTCATAGATCTTTTTGATTTCTAAATACCACATTTATTGATCTCATTCATACACCATAACATTAATGAAGTATTACTTCATTTGAATATCGTTTGTTCATAGCACTTTCCACTGCTTTCAGGTTTGACAATGTTTCCAAAAGAAAGCCGTTAGCAATCATTTTCCCTGGATCACAGCATTTTACATTTTTGAGAAGATTTATTTTTATTTATTTGAAAAGCAGAGAGAAGGAGAGACCTGTACATTGGTTTACACCTTGAATGGCTTCAAGCTCCAAAACTAGGAGCCAGGAACTTCCTCCAGGTCTCCAGGCCAACCTCTGCTGCACTCCCAGGGCATTAACAGGGCACTGGCTCAGACGTGGAGCAGCAGAACTCTCCTGGATGCCTGTGTGGGATGCCAGGACCTCAGCAAGCGGTTCTGCCTTGTCTGTCACAGGGTTGGTCCAGGATTGAACATTTTAGTGTCCATGTACTTTCCCACTCAGACATGAAGTGCAGTGATGTATGTATTTGTGACCTAGTACTAGCTGACACACTCTCTGCAAGCAGGTTAGTTTTTCTCTAAGTTTCTGATTTATTCTTTTTGTTAAGGTGATTATTTTCTCCTACTGGATTTGCAAACTTTCCTATGACAACTGGCATGTTTGCTTCATGTTTTAGTCATTTCTTTTGAGACAGATGTCATTTTCTGGATAGTAGAAATTTTTTTTAGAATCAAAAGTGTGTCGTGTCTTGTGACTTTGTTAAAGCCTTGGCTGTCATTGCTTTAATTTCCTGCACCTTGACTAGAAGCCCTCATTACTGACGTTATTACTGTGTGGGAATACAGGCTAATTTATTTCCCAGGTACTGAGTTAAAACAAGCCTTAGCAGTAGTTTTGCAATTATGATTCTCCCCAACACAAAGAGAAAAAGAAATTTGCGGGTAGGGAAGAAGGAAGGACAACTTGAACAGGGAGAGAAAGGAGTAAGGAAAAAGCCATCACGATTCTCACAGGTGGCTTAACATGTTTCAGTCTCTCATTTGAACACATTAAATGGATTGTCTACAATGAGACCTTCAGAACACATGGAAAATGTGTTTAACTTGTCTCATGCCGAAGAACTTCCACGTGGAAACGGACAGTGAGCAAGGCAGGATTTATTGGGCAGCCTCCTGCAAGCACTTGGCAGGGGGCTGAGACAGGAGTGCCTGAAGCATCATCCCAGCAAGCGTCTTTTAGGTATAGTTTGGGGTGGAACATAAAAAACATTTGCCAGTCAATCAGAGGTCAGGGAGCAAATGCCTGACAGAGGGAGGGAATTGTAATCCTGTCAGGACTGCTCAAGATAAAACAAAAACTATCAGAAGGTAGAACTGGGAATGTCATCTTGCTATTATGATAAAAGCAGAAGCTCAGTAGAAATTGAGATCATTAATTGTATCTTGTTAGAAACAGTTTCTGGAGAGAAACAAACATTTTGTTCCCTTGTGAAGGAACTCTGGTGCTTTTCTCATTCCAGCAGGGACCTGACCTAACTCCCCGACAGCCCGTTTAATTCCTCTCAGTAGCAGATACTGAAAAGGGGACCATTATTAACTCAGCATTTTATGTTTGAAAAACTGAAATGAATGGATGGTGCTTCCAAGGCATCTTCTCAAAGAAAAAAGACAAGCAGTGAATCTTAACTTGGGTCATCTTTGCATGTAGAACTACAAACCCTGGTCCTTAATACCGAATTTGTTGTCATTCCAATTTCCATTCTTTATTGAGTGTATTTCTTCTCATATGGCACTTCTACTTCCTGCTCAACACCGAACTCTGCTATGTTGTTTTCATTTTTATTTATTTGAGAGACAGGGGAGAAGGAAGGAGAGAGAGAGACAAAGAGTATACTTCCATATCTAATGGTTTATTCCTCAAATGTCTGCACTAGTTAGGAGGCAGAAATTCAATTCAGGTCTCCTAACTGATAAGCACCCAATTCCTTGAAACAATAGTACCATCCCCCATATTTTGCACTAGTTGGAAGCTGGATTCTGAGTCCAGAGCCAGGATTCAAACCCAGTTGTTCTGATATGGGCACAGGCATCTGACCCAACAGGCCAGATTCCTGCTGCTCATTAGTTTACTAATGTCATATTTATTTGTAATACATCACTTTCCTTCAAAGTTATAAATAATTGGCAATTAACCATAATTCAGAGAAATAATGTAAACTACTTTTTGCAATTTCTAAAAAAAAATTTTTTTTAATTATTTGTTGGAGAAAGAGACAGAGAGTCCTCCTGTTAACTGCTTCGCTCTACAAATTCCTTCAACAGCTAGGCTAGGGCTTGGTCCTGAGATCTTAGCCCAGGTCTGCTCTGAATGGCAGGACTGTAATTACTTGAGTGATTCTCAGTACCTCTGATGGTCTATCTTAGCGGGAAGCTCGATTTGCTAGACTAATACTCAAGATATGTTTCTGTATCTTACGGGATGGATGTTTTCAATTATTTTTGAAATTTTATGATTCTTGGTGTTTTGTACCCCTCAGTTTTACCAGCTTCAGTATATCTAGCATCAAAGCAGTTCCATGTGTGCAGTAATCGCAATAACAGACATTTCTCCATTGACTATTCTCTCAGTGCATTGGTTTTATTATTCTGAAAATGAACTTGCGTTTCTGAAACCTTTAATAATAGTAATGATAGCTTACACTGCTAACAAGTGGAGACTTATCGATGGTAAAGGATAAAATTAGAGATAAAATTGTTTTTGTGAGTTACATAAATGCTATTTTGATAGATAGAAGTAACTATTATGTTCCATCTGCCTGATGAATCATGTTTTTCTATGAAGTGTTATCAGGACTGTTGAACGTATTATTATGTACAAAACACATACACACAAAGCATGCATAATTTGATTTTGAGAAGTTGCTTGGTTTGCCATCAATTTCCTATGTCTGTAAGAAAGTCATTATTTTCAGATATTTGTTTAATGAAATCTTATCTGTGCTGACATTGCACTCAAGAATGTGTCTAGAATAACATTGAATCATTATAATCCGACATTTAAAAATCCATTTAAGAGATTGATAATCTTTTTATTTTTTAAAATAACTCGACCAGGAGACTGTAGCTCTAAATTGCACTGTTACTGTCGAGCTCTTATTTCCATTTCTGTTCTGCTATAGTGTTGGATCTTGTTCTTCATATTGTTATACACTGCACATTCAGTGAAAATATACAGTATGGCACTGTCAGATATAATTACCGCAAGCCTAGCATTGGCTGACCAACAATCCAAATGGGACCAGTTTGGAAATTCAGTGGTTAATATTTTGGTTTTATAAGATGTAACTAACCAGTTCTTTGAAACAGTCAGTACTACAATATTGTGAAACATGCAAGCATTTTGAACCGTTAATTTTTATTTCAAGAAAAAATATGCATTAGTCTGTGGTATTTTACTTAAAATCTTACATTTGTAACTGAAAAAGCAGTGTTACCATCATGGCGGATTGGCAAGGTTAAACAGGTTTCAGGACAGCGGGGCACAGAGAAAAGTCAGACCCAGCAAGCAATCTCAACCATGAAGTCTGGCCTGGAAAATTGATGAGGGGTTCCTGAAAGCTGTGGGTTCAAACATGATCGTTTCTGTCCTATCAGAACACCCTAGAGTACTAGAAAAATAACCACGCTCATAAAAATAATTGAAATCAGACTTTATGATCTGCAAATTGTTATAAATCATGTATTGAACCTGAGGCTTGTCTGCCTACTTCACTAGTTCAAGAGCAACTCTAAAAGA